CCAAAAATCAAACCAAACTCACTGCTATTGAGTTGATGCTGACTCATAGCAACCCTACAGCACAGAGTAGAACTGCCCCACAGGGTTTCCAAGGCTGAAACCTTTACCAAAGTAGACATCCTTCTCTCAGCAGAGCAACTGGTGGGCTCGAACTACCGATCTTTTGGTTAGCAACCGAGTGTGTTTAACCACTTTACCACCAGGGCTCCTGGGCATGTGGTAGGCACCTGTTAAATATCTGTTGAATGTATGACTGTGACTACAACGAGGCCAACTGTGGGGCTCATTTCCTTTACAGGAAAACCTCCTTTGCCCTCAGACCTTACCTATGGAACCTGGCTTTGTCCTGTTTAGTGTCCACCTCCTTCCTGGCCATCATGGCAAATGACCCCTCTAAGCAGCAAACAACTATACTTTAAACTATCCCACCTCTTCACTCTCTCACCTACCAAAACCTGGGCCCAGGTTCAAAGTATTTGGAAAATATCTAAATAAGTCCATATTAGCCTCAGCTAAGAAATGGGAGGCTGGGAGAGGGAAGTGCCTGGAACTGACAATCCATAGCAGCCATTATGATCATATGACTACTTTCTACTGGCCACTATGCTAATCACTTTACATATGTTATCTCATTTAAACTTCCAAATATTCCTGTGAAAAGTGGGTAGTAGTATCCCTATGTCCAATGAGAAAACGGAAAGTATCTTGTCTATGATCATGCAGCTGGTAAGCTGCAGAGCAGGTGTGACTCCAAAGCTGTCAGAATTACTTGCATCTTAATAGCGGTCAGTGGCTTTAGCACAAAGGATCTTTAGGGCCTCAAAGTCAGAGCAGCAAGCCACAGGGGCAAGAGTGCATACAACACATCTCCTTGGTCTCTAGCAGATGTCTGATCCAGGGAAACCCTGCTCCCCAGTTTTTCTTTCAGCTCCATCTTTCTTCAAACTCTTATTCTTTATCCACGTGCATTCAAGGGCAAGTTTTCTATAGGTGGACAAGTAACTGAAAATCTATCTTACATTTCCAAATACTGGTTTCTAGGTTTGAGAGATAAACTACCTTTCCACTCACTACTATTAAAAAAAAAAAAAAAAAAAAAGAGTAAAAACACCATTTGTAGCCCTGACCTTGTTTATTGAAATTAAAACCAGTATCACCTTAGGTACCAGTAACTGGAGAAGTCTATGTGGTTCTTACTTGAAGAAACCAAGAAACGATAGAAAATCATGCTCAACCTGGCATCCGAAGACTTGTGTTCAAGTCTTCAGCTAAGGGTAGAGAGTTACTTCAGTACCATGCACTCCCTTGTAAAGGTAAAGACAGCCTATAACACAGGGTGGCTCTGTAGATTCACTGAGCAAACATTTGTAAAGGCTCATGCCAGCATAAGGGACTGAACATGAGCCTAAGTGGTCATGGGGCCACACCAATTAGCTAAACAGCAACAATTCATCCCTTCTTCCATGGAGCACAAAGAAGTGTTTGCCTACGTCGCGTAGCAGCCTGAGCATACAGAAGCCCAGATGGAAGAGACCCAACTCAGATGCATTCTTTTCCTCATTTCCAGTCAAATCAGGGTTATAGTAAAGATGCAATTAAATAATCAGCTCATGACTGGTGACCTTGGTCTCACATTCCTGCAGCCTAGAGAGGGGTACATGAGCCACTCTCTTCCTGCTCCGAGCAAAGCCTAAGATCTTCTTGTACAGCCCTCACTGCACTGTTTTCTTGATGGGTTCCTCCATCACCTTTATTTGCAAGCCACGAGAACACAGGGTCATAAACAAAACCAGTGGAAAGCAGGCAAGGTGCAATCCCAGAGAAAGCAAAATTGATTATAGTCAAGACAGCAAAAGCTCTGTTTTTAGCTGTTTTTTGGCTCAGTTGCCAAATCTCAAGTATGCCCAGGATCTGAAAGAGAAAAGCCATGCTAGTTTTCATATGTATCACAGTGTATTAAATTAACTCCCTGGCTGGAATAGACTGACCATTCCTCATAGGCTGATTGACCAAAGGCATTTTGGCAGTAAATTGCCATATCATCTGATACTATAAAGGAGGTGCTCATCACACCTGCTAAAGAATAAAACTCTCTGAAGCTGTATAGAAAATGGGACCAAAACAGGGACACTTGAGTGGGTAGGAATGCTTGGTGACCTCCTGCTGTCTCAGGGGGAAATGGCATGCATGGGGGTAAAAACTCTGAGTGGTGATGCTTTTGTACTGACTTGGGAAGGCTGTCTGGCTGTTCACCAGTTGTCCCTATTAGCACCAGATGTGGTTTCTGTTCATGCAGTATCTTAGAATACTAGCAGGAGAAGGGCATTAGGAATCATTAAATCTAATCTCCGCTCATCTTGCAGATGGGATATCCAAGGCCCGGATAGGAGTGTAACTCAGGTTGGGGCAGCAGAATCACAGATAGAAATCAGGTTTCCAGATTGCCAGTCTCCAGTTCCTCTCAATGCATGAACAACATGCACAAATGATTCTTTTCTTTAGAGGGAGGAGACTGTAATAACCAAGGGTACCCACTCTGGAGCAGAGTGCCTCAGTTCTAATCCAGCTCCAGATGTATATGTTGTGTGACCATAGATAATTTACTTGCCTGCTCTATTCCACAGTTTCCCCCACTTATAAAATGGAAATGATGATAGTACTAGCTCATAGGGTTGATGTGAAGATTAAATGATTTAATACATGCTTAGCATTTACAATCATGCTTGCATACAGAAAACACAATATAAATGTTTACCATCATTATTATCCTAAGCAAGCTTGTATATCTACTAAGCCTCAGTCATGGTTTATAATCTTTGGAACACAGGGCTAAAGCTGAACTGTGGCTGGAAACCCTCTAGCTAATCAGCACAGAACACCTCATAGCAACTGATGTTTGCCCTCAGCCACACACTGCCAGAAACTCCCATTTCTCTTTATGACTCTTTCTCCTTATCTCTCCATACTTCACCCTTTTATGATTTTCTTTCCTTACATATATTTTCCTCCCCTCCTTTCTTTAGCTGTATCTGACCTTGTACTGATAGCCTGATATCTACAGAAATGCTAATTCCACTGGTAAAATTTGAAAAAACATGATTACTATACTAAAGACTTTTATCTCTCTAGAGTGGAGAGTATTAGAGCTTCAATTATTTCTTAGGTCAAAATCAACATAATAAATTAGACTAATACATACACATATATGCATATATATACATATATAAAATTTGTCATATATATGCAAAATGTATATATACACACATGAAAGCTACTTTTTAAGAAACAAATGGGCCTTACAAATCTTCATTGTTCATTTCTTTATGAACTCATTTAAAAATCAAACTCATTCATATTTTGCAGAAGATAATTATACAATGTGGACAATGGCCTTGAGCTTCAACTATGGGCATTTCCAATTCAGTACATTCTACAGTCCAATATGGTTCCTTAGGATCTGTGTCTGGGGTGGTGGAGGCCCCAGAGCCAAGCTACTTTCCACAGGTCTTTGAAGCCTCCCATGAGAACCATAGCACCTCTCTAGGCCCTGGATCCTGCCCTTGTCAGTAAATAGCCTCTATCAAAATGCACAGCAATATGATCCAGGTCCTCAAGCTATCGAGTAACACGAGATTTTAGTTAATGAAAGCATTGTGTGTATATTAAAGATCAGAAGAAGAAAAATATCTATGTTGAAATTCCTGGAGTAGGGACAGTCTGGATGCTCATTGCTGAAGGGAGAGACCTGTACATTTCCAAGCAAAAGGTTAGTGTATGTACCCTCCCTAGGCCAGCCATGGCTTCACATCATCGGGTGGATGGCTGGCCAACTGCCTTGGGTTCTGTGCATACAGACCACACGCTGCCTAGTCTTTTAGAGTAGCCATGCTTATTCAGAGTGGGACAATCCACTCATAAGGAAGGCAGGGAGGTCCTGGCATGAGACAATAGAAGCAGCACAACTCTGTCCCCTGGTTATTGGTCAGACAGGAGGGCCTCTTGTCAGCTTTTACTGTCTTGACTATAATCAATTTTGCTTTGTCTGGTATTGCACCCTGCTTGCTGTCCACTGGTCTTTTTTATGACCCTGTGTTCTCGTGGCTTGCAAATAAAGGTGATGGAGGAACCCAGATGCAGAGTTAGCCATTGATACATCTGTCCTGGGCCCTCCGAGCAGGCTAGGGCAATCACACTTCACATGATCTGTCTTTTGGAGGCTTAGCATATAGGAGAGAGGGCAAGCACTCACAATTCCATGGGCCTATTTCACAATAGGTTGTGGATGAGCGAAACAGAAAAGGAAAGAAGAAAGTAAAGGGAGGACTCCTTCGGGCCGAATCATTGCATGGCCGTTTGACTGGGTGTGCACATTTGGAGAGGCATCGATGACCACTGGAATAAACACAATCACAGTTGTTAAAATTCTCAGGACACTTATTCATTTTTTCTCAGCCACTTCAGGGGCAGCCTCCACAATACCTAAGTTCACATGCCAAGCTGAAAAAGTCTGCCACATTAGAACCTAGCCTCCTGCTCGCAAAATATCTTTGCTCTTCTCCCCATCACCTACTTCAAACACACTGGAACCTCTCTGTCCTCCATGCCTGTCTTTTCCCCTCTTCCCTCTCTGTTCTGGGTACAATTTGAGGCACAGTTTATGAACTCACCACCAGATTCTGCCACATTTGCCCCTGTCAACTGCTCTAACATTTCGGCCCACACCCTGAATGATCCTGCTCAACTTTCTCCTCTGTTTTTTATTTAAACCCAGTCTTTCAGATTAGTCTGTAGTGTTCAAGGCATAACAGTGACTTGCCTCTTAGGGTTTCTAAGTGCATTTCATTGGGCACTTCCCATCGTCTGCACCTGGAAGGGTGAGTGGTACAGGGGTGGGAGATGGGGGAATGCTCATGGGAAAGCATGTCTGTGCATCTGCTTGTTGTTGGGTAACTGAGTGACCTTCAGTGATGCTAATGGCCTGTCTCTCTCTCCCTGCACAGGGCCTGGAGCAGTCATTGACGGTGTAAACTCTGCCTCTAGAGCGCTGGCTTGTCTCTGGCTAGCAGGGACCCTCTTTGCCCACTTCTTCATCAAGTTTTGATAAGAAACCATAGGTCCTCTGAGCAACGCCTGCTTCTCCATACCACAGACTTCACACTGTGGAGGGCAAACCAGTTTGGGCTTTTTCATTTGTTTCTGATCTTGTTTTGTTTTTGTTTGTTTATTTGACTTTTTTTTTCCAGCTTGAATGAATGGGGTTGGGGGAGGGTGGGCAGGGTTCTACTGTGTGTAGGATAATCATTCATTGGTGTGTTCGAAAATGGAATCTGCTCCTGCTACCTTAGCCCTTCCCTTTCCTCTGCTTCTCTCTCCATCACCACCACCACCTCCATACACACCAAACCATAAGTTCCGTTTGGGCAAAAAACGTTCCTCATGATAAACACCCTGAAAACACAACTTGACTTATAATGTAGTGCACAGCAAGAGTTACATCTATGTGTCCTATTACCTGTGTCTTATAAGATTTGGACTATTTCCTGATTATAATGTACATATCTCTCCCTCCAAGTTTATTATTATCTAATTACATCAGGGTTCACATCTTTTCTTTCTGGAAAGTTATCTCAATATATCTAGATGCACGTACATATATATATGTAAAATCTTGTCACCTTATCTAGCCACTCTGCTCTATCTGCTTCCTCCACTAGCTACAGGGATTAGAGGCATGGAGCTCAGCCTGTAAGGCAAAACTAAAAATGTGGAAGTAATGACCAAAACTGGGCAAGGCCTCTTGAAGCTAGAACTTTTCTTTAAAACAATGCTAGCCAACTCATAAAACATCATCAATATATGGTTGATTCTTTAAGGTTTATCATAGTAATCACATGGCCATCCATCTACTCAACTTTCTGGTTTATCTGTCCTTCCAATTATCTACCTACCTGTCTTTCTCTCTGGAAATCACTCTATCAATCTATCAATGTAATTATCTTCTTTATATTTTTTTTCTCATTACTCACTATCTATTCATTGCCATATTAATCTCTAATCAGATTGTACTGATCCCACTGTATCCACTTCTCTTCTACCATCAGCAGGCATTGGCATCTTCAGATTTACCCATCAAGTTCCCATGTGAAAGCCAATGATCTCAGAGGCTAACAGCATAGAAAAACAATACCCTGTGCCTCTTTGGAATGCAGTATCCTATCCACCCAAAGAGGGCGTGGTTAACTGATGGAGCAAAGTAACAGCCTAGTGATCAGTTACTTGCTATTCCCGGAAGAGACTGTGTTTCCTGAACATCTTCTTGGAAAACAGATCAGCCCTGGAAAAGCCTTGATCAGTACTTTGTTTTTTCTTTCACACTTGATGGACCAAGGTACCAACTTTCATGCTTCTCCCAGCAGTTCAAGAAAGTGCATGTCAGGAACTTGTGGACTTTCTGCATGGCTGGCTTTCCTTAATAGCAAGAGTGTAAGAAAACACACACGTACATGCACACACTTACATATTTGCTTCTACAATGTGAAGAGAGCAGTCCACCAGCCTGAGTATGATGACATCAGCAACTGTCTTCTCTCTGCTCCAGTTTTGGTGGAACCTGTTTGAAAACTCTCCAGGGAAAAGCTGATGGAGGCCAATTGCATGGCGGGTGTGTTGACAACTCTGGTATTTGTTTCAGGAAGCTCTTCTGAGCTGAGGGCACTTGAGCAACTGACTTAATTTCCAAGCACTTGATTAACACAACACTGCAAATGTGAAGAGGAGAGTGTAAGTGACACATAGTTTCCTCTGGTGCGGGCTGCCCCTTCAGTGGCTTTGGGGAAGAATTTTACTAGTTCTTCATGCTCAGAGCAGATCCAGCTTACCAACAAGAGCTGACCTGACATTTCTGCACTGTCTGCTGGGAGAGGAAGGACCCAGTCAGCCCGAGTGCCTGTTATCCAGAAAGAATGGCAATGAAGATCACACAGGGCTCTGCTCTCTTGACCCATGCTTTAGAGATTAACCTACTGAACAGAATGAGAAAGAAGCACCAGTAATGATTTTCTCACAGAACTTTCCTGCCTTCAGTTGGAAAACAATTTCAGGTCCACAGTCTAAATACACAAACAAACAAGAGCTCCTTAGAGTTCCACTCCGTTATGTTTAATTGAACTTCTTCCTCTGATAAAAGTGCCGTCTTTGTTTCTGTCCATGATGGTACATGAGCCTGACATATACTGTGAGGGAAAAATACACACACACATGCACACACACACACACACACACACACACACACACAAACATAGGCTGTCTCGGCATCCAACAATCTAGGCTCTGTCACAAGTGTTAGAGCTGGTGTGTGGGAAATGAATACTAGATTTGCCAGCAGTAAACAGACACCTGCATTTTTCAGTGAGTTGCCAAGAGCCAGATTTTGGGAAAATAAATGATGTGCCCAAAGCAGTATATCCATTCCAAGTTCCAGGGACTACGTGAGTAGGTACAAAGTCAGAATTAAAAGTCGGACACAAACATTTCAGATTGGTCGCCTCATTCAGCACCTGGAGCAGGATGGTGTCAGACACTGGATGAGAAATGTGTCATTTGAGCCTTCTACTGATAATAAATTTGTTCTTTGAAGTAAACAAATGTGGAGTTTGTAGGGAGAGGAGGGCCTTTGAGAACACAGTGCTTGAAATGTACAAGTTGTATGTGTGTTCTACACTCCAAGACCTTTTGGCTGGGAAGGTCATCAAAGCCTTTCAAATGCAAGGCAGCCTCTCCAAGGAGTCACTAGAGAGCTCTGTCTTGCCCCTTCCACTGAACACAGGAAGCATCTTGTTTCTCCACTTTTCAGAGGAAAAAAATCCTGCAGTCACTCCTCCTCTGCTTGGGACCAAGAAAGCCAAGTAAATAAGACCTAAGGCAATTGGTTCAGTGGGAAGGAAAATGCAATGAAATGAATGAAAATGACTTTTATTCCCAGCAGATGTCCTCCAGCTTCTCTTTGTGTTACTTTGGTGACGAGGGCTCCATGTGACAGTAGCTGCTCTCCCATGTTTTGAAGCATATAGAACAACAAATGCTTACTAAAGACAGTATCTACACTGACACGGCTTTTCAGCATCACATATGGAGGGTCCATGGATAAGGCTGGTTGGATAGATTTGTTCACGGTGCCAATGCAAGACAGGGCACAAAGGATGAAAAAAATAAACAAGTCCTGAGCAACCTAGAGCTCTTCATGGATTTTCCACATGGGAAAGCAACCAAAAAAGGCATATCAAGATATTAGACAAGAGGAATTCAACAAAGCAGTTACTGTGAAAGCTTTCTTCCCCTTCCCAAAACAAAATTAATATGTATATCTACCAAAGTAATGCCAGTGAAAGTGCTCATGTTACGGCTCCGGCCAAGCTTGTTTTCAGTAGTTTATTGTCAAGTGCCTGATACAGTCCCTGCAAGACTAAGTAAGGGTGTTTAGTTGTTCTCATTCTTGTTTTAATTGAAAGGGGACATATAGGGAAGTGACTGTCAAAACATTCACATATTTTATGAAGTGAGCATTGTGTCTGGTTGTTCTGCTGCAATTGTGCTCAATCGAACAAAAAAAAAGTGGGACTTTGTGTCAAAAAGTGGCCTGAATCTCCTTTCCCTGAAGCTTAGGCCTCATGTTTAAGGACACATTTCACAGGTTTGTTCTCAAAATTTGGGTGAGAAGTGGGCTCCGGGACTCCAGACACTCTACAACCGAGATTGAATTTAAGGATCTGTTTCTGCATCACTCCAGTCAATTCTCAAAAAACAAGAGTTAGAAGTTCTACCTAATGTCAGAAGAACTATCACATAAAAAGCACAGAGAATTCCAAAGTGGGCAGTTGATCCCAAAGACAGCTCCTGTCACCTTAACAGGAGCAGTTAGGAACTGACCAGTCAAGCTGGGTCGATGCCCCCAGGGCCAGGAAAAATGTCCTTGGGCAGGGCCTGTCATCAGCCATATCAGAGCAAGGAGGGGAGGAATTGCCAAACTGAGGTGCGAGATAGTGGCAGGGTCCTCTTCCCCAATTTGACCCTGAGTCCTACCAAGGGGAAAACTTGTTCCACTATAGGGGACCAGCCACCCAAGAGCTAACCTTAGTCCCTTCAGAATCAGGAAAAACGGCATAAAATTTTGCTTTTTGGAAAAATGCAATTTTTTTTTTTTCTTTAACAGTGAGAATATTTTTGTTTTTGTTTTTTATATTTTACAAGCTCAATCTCTGGAAACTCTCATGCCCAATTGCCTCCCCTCCTGCTAGCTTCCCTGTCTTTTTTCTTTTAAGACAAACAAGTCTGAGCAATTGCAGAAAATTTTACAGGTGTGTAACTAGGAAGGCAACATTTTCAAAAAGACACTGTATGATGAGAATGCCTAATGATCACTAAGCAAACAAATAAAAATGCCAGTCTCATTTCCCTCATTTCTTGCTTAAGAGAAGAGACGTAAATGAAAGGAGGAAGAAATAGATTTGCAATTAAAAGATGTGGCAAAAAAATATAGTAGAATCAGTGCAATTTAGCCTTCAGGTGCAGACTACTCGGAGTCCCAAAGGAATGTGGAGTGGACTTAATTAGCTGCAATTGTCTTCAACCTGCAAGTAGTCAGCTAAGTTTAATTTCCAGCATTTGAAAGGCAGTCCTTTTTTATTTCTTTCAATGGCATCCTTTCAGAGGTACACAGTTGTCCCACAGCATTGAGTGGAGAAAGTAAGATTGTGAACCCTCTACCATTCTTCTGAAGACACATTATACATTATCTGGCAGATTTTTAAGGATATTAACAATGATAAGTAACAATAGCTACCCTTCTGTTAGTTAAAGGGGGCACTTTTAATCATTCAGAAATGTTTGTGACATGTAAAGTGCAGTTGTGAGGAATGTGTGGGTATACGAAAATGTATCTGTCAAGTTCAGAGTCCTCTAGATTAAAAAATACTATAACTTATCAATGGTGCCGTTACAGCTGTGTCAGACAATGGGTGTGCCCATTCTCACGAGTACCCTTAAAATGAATCTATGTTCAAATGCTTTAAAAACTTATCACATGATACAAGATTATAACTTTGTCAGCCTTCTAGACTTTCTTTTCTTTCTTATTTTCTTTTTTTTCCAAAAAGCAATGAAGAACTTTATTTCTGTCAATAATTGTATTAAGGGTGAATACACTACCTGGATTTTGTGCATGTTACATTGTAGTTGTAACCTTTTCTAATTCAGGATGAATACACGATGGTTGTGATTGTGCAGTGTATCAATAAAATTTGAAGAAATTTGTAACTTTGGGAGGCTGTTTATTAGGACATCTCGTTCAAAGTCCAGAAACAGAGAAAAGTGGGGCAAGGTACACTTCTCACATATGTGGCTTGGGGAGTAGTTGCAGGTAGAAAACTGAGTAGCCTAAAATACATTCTCATTTTTCCTCTC